GTTTCTTAATAAAGTTTATAAAGTAGGTTTTTAAAAATATTTTTTATTTAGAAAGTATATTGCTAAAATTAATTGTTTTTATTATAAAAATTAATTTTAAAAAAATTAACGCAGGCAAATTTGCCTGTATTACAATCTAAGAGATATGATTTTGTAAGTTTAGTAATAATTTTATATTTAATATAATTAAAAGTTTTAGGTTTATTAATATTATTAAATTATTTTTTATAATTATTAAAAAAATATTTAAATTATAATTTAAGATCAAGTTTGTATTTTTTAAGAAAAGAAATGCAAAAGATTTGTTAAATTTTTGTTTAAAAATATTAAGTAAGATATTAATATTGTATTTTTTATTATTTTATATTTTAAAAAGAGATTAATTAATAATATTTTTATTGATAAAATAGTAAAATAAAAAATGTATTAGTAAAATATTAACTGATTTAAAAAATTTAACAAGATCAATTGTTTAATATTCATCTTATAAATAAAGATGAATTTTTGTCAAATAAATTATTACTAAAAAACAATTTTATAAAATATAAGAAAGAATAGATTTATATAAAGAAAGTATTTTAGACTAGTTAAGTTTGGTAAAAAGAATTGTAATAAAATTTATAAAAAAATATTTTGAGCATTGAGTATAGAATATTAAAGAATATAGTAATTAAATTATTAATAGTAGAATTATGTTAATAAATAATATCTGTAAGAAACTTGGATTGTGTATCAACAAAAGTTTTAATGAAATATTTAAAACTTCATTTAGATACTTGTTTAAGTTCAGTTATAGGTTTAATAATTTTTTCTAATACAAAATTAATAAAATGAGACTTAAGAAAATCAAAGATTTGTTGAAATAATAATGTATTAAAGTTAATAAATAGTTCCATTTTAGTAGTAATTAAATATTTTTAAGACCAATTAAAAAAATTTTTTTGTTTATTATAGAATTTTAATTTTTTGCTGTATAGATTATTTTTTCTTAAAAACTTAAAAAAATTCTTTAAAGATTTAGATTTTTTCTTTTTTTTTGATAAAAAAAAATTTAATAGTAAAGAAGACTAATTATTGTTGTTAATTAAAAGATTTAATAGTTTTAACTTGAGATTAGAAATACAACTAGGATAAGTAAGATATTCACATAAAATTTTAACAGTAGGATTAAGAGAATGTTTATTATTGCTTAGAAATAATAACTACAGTATTAAGTAGTACTGTAAATCTATGATCATAAGAGTTTTGGATAACAGGTGATATTTTGCGCACAATTCTATTGGCTAAATAACAAGAGGTATGTAAGCTACACTGGTTTGTGTTACATCGCTAGTTATGCAGAAATAACTTAGCGCGTATTTCTTCTCGCGTTTTCTTTTCTTTTTTTTTTTTGCATAAGAGACAAACTTATTTGAACGTTCCATGTCAGCAATACCAATGAACCACTTGGAGAGCCTTCAGAATTTTATATATCATGAAAAACGAATTGTATGTTGCGGGGAATTACGTTTTTTTCAGGAGGTATAAGTGATCACTTTTTCTTAATTCACATTGTCTTCAGGTTACCTACAAGTGGCTGAGTAGACGCTTGGGAATTCACACGAACCACGCTAAACAGTAAGCACAAACACCGAATAAATCAAAGATACTTTCAAAACGTTTATTTTGATTCAAGCTCAATTTTTTGTATCAAAGAATGCTCTCGGAATTCGAAGCTTCCATGTCTATAACGGGGAAGACTCCTCATGCAGTCTATTGCATTTGTGGAATCACAAAGGAAGATAGACATGCTGTATTATTAGTACCTAAGGAGGAGCTGGAAGGTATTTATTCATCGGTAGTAAAATTTACGCACTGGCTACCTACCATTTCCATTAACTGATGTTATTCGAATCTTCTCCTTGGACCATACAATATTTTTATAAGAAACTAAACAAAAGTACAAAACCTTAACAAGTATTCATATTTATAGTATGGAAGAGCACCGCCCCAAGGTAATATTTTCCAGCCAATTATTAACGAATATTTCACCTTAATTAAATCTAAAATACTTTGATTCGTGTAGGATGGATCCGCACTTGTTATCACAGACTATAAGCCGACAACGGATGAATCCGCACTTGTTATCACCGATTGTAAGTCGACAACAGATGAATCTGCACTTGTCATCATGGACTGTAAGCCGACGACGGATGAATCCGCACATATTATCACAGACTATAAGCCGACAACGGATGAATCCACACTTGTTATCACAGACTATAAGTCTAACAGTATGGAAATTGATCAAGAACAATCACCTCAATTATTATCTAAGAAACAGGCATTGCCTTGTGGTAAACGCAAGGTATCAAAAAAACGAATATACCAAGATGCAAAAGGTTTTAAAGTGAGCGAAGATACATATGAATGGGAGTCATTTTCAGAAGGTGAATGTGACCCTCGGCAAACTGGGATTAACGTGAAAATCAAACCGGAGAGGTCAAGTATTAAGAATAGCGTAAATAAGCGTGGGAAGAGAAAAGGCGATGATTCTTCTCAAAAAAGCTTGTTGAATTTTTTTGGGAAGATTTAGTATATTATTATTAGTTTTGAATACCGTTATTGGGTGCGGTCCTTTTGAATTAGTCCTAAATTTTCTCAAACTGAAATTCCTTTTATGGTGATGTTAATATAAACCTCTTTTTTCTTAATTGGAATATTCCATATTTGTATTAGTATCCTGTTCTTTTCTGTCAGAAATAGATTTTAAAGCCTGCCTCCCATTAGATTGCCCGATGTTACCGTTACAATTTGACCGACCCATGAGATCACATGCGTAGCAACCCTTTTTGAAACACCTTTGCCCTTTCAATGTCTATGAAAATGGCGCACACGTGATATATGCCGTGAAACCATGTTGATCTTAATGAGTTAAAGTGTTACGACAATAAAAAAAAAATTCTCATGATTAACTTTGCCATATGATGATTGGTCACACACATTCTGACTGATTCAATTCTTGTTTGTTACGGGCAAGGGTTTGTATTATTCGGTATTACAGAATGCTACATAAATCATACAAGCTTGTTACGGCTCGATCTTACAAGTTATATTTTGGAGTATGTATGGTTGGACTTGTCGGATTTCTGTCGTTTTTTTTTAATTATGTACATGCATTTTGTTTTGAGTTTAAAACACCAACCATAGTGTTTCTTAGTTTATAGTTGAAAAAGCGGAAATTTTAATAGTCAATGAGAAGTGATGATTTAGTGATCCACATGACATTTTGTTCCGGAGCCTTGAGAATATAATTTTTCTTGGTTAAAATTTCGGTCCGTCTTAATTAGGCAAGATGTGGTATCCAATCAGATCTTGCTATGTAAACTTGGCCAGAAAAATTTTATATAAAGTGACATGCCCTGAAGTTGGCCGTGGCTTCTCCCCCGCCTTCTACCTTTGCCTTTGTTCCAACAAAATAAAAAAAAAAAAAATAAAAAAAATTAAAAAAAAAAAACCAAAAAAATATTCATTTCACGCCTCTTATTTCTATTAGAAAAAAAGTCCTTTTAATAAGGTTCTACCTAGATTAAAAGCTATATCAAGATCCCTACATCCTTTGTTACGATCCTTAACCCCAACGACACTTAACAAACAAAATCCATCATGTCCGCAGCAGTCACCACCTCCTCAACAAATGCTCCCGGCGTTCCAGGAATGTCAAATCCCGCAACACAACTCACTATGGAACAACAACAGCAAATTGCTGCTCAGGCTCAATTTGGTGTTGGTGTCCCTCCTGCAGCCCCTCAAGCCTCTGCCTCGCTTTACGTCGGTGAGCTGGATCCCTCCGTCACTGAGGCTATGCTTTTTGAAATGTTTAGTACGGTCGGTCCAGTCGCAAGGTATTAAGATTATATTATTATTATTTTTGCACTTTGTGTTGTCAATTGATTAATTTGTAAGTTTGTTCATAACCCCTTGTTTCCTTTAGTATTCGTGTGTGTAGAGATGCCGTTACCAGAAGATCTCTTGGATATGCGTACGTCAATTTCCACAATGTTCTCGATGGTGCGTTTCTCTTTTTTTTTTTTTTGATCTCAAAGCATATCTGTCAGAATTATATAAGAGCGATGTAGAACCATTTAAAGGATACACTAGTACATATATTACGTTTTTATTCATGCTATTTAACTTATTATATCGTTGTCAAACTATAAATCAACAATTTCAGGAAAATAAAATCAAATTATTAATGATTTTTTTGCTAATATAAAAGTTAATCATTAATTTTTGTAGGTGAACAAGCCCTTGAACGTTTGAATTATACTGTTATCAAAAATAAACCTTGCCGTATCATGTGGTCACAACGTGATCCAGCTCTTCGCAAGACTGGTACCGGCAATATTTTTATCAAAAATCTCGATAAGTCGATTGACAACAAATCCCTTCATGATACGTTTATCGCCTTTGGAAATATCTTGAGCTGTAAGGTTGCTATGGAAGATGGTGTTTCTAAAGGCTATGGTTTCGTTCATTACGAAACGGCTGAGGCTGCTGAAAACGCCATTAAGCATGTTAATGGAATGTTACTTAACGATAAGAAAGTGTGAGTAAATTTTGATTAATGATATCATGTATATTTAAATCAGAAATTAACTTTAAATGTAACGTTTAGATATGTTGGTCATCATATTCCTAAGAAAGAACGTCAATCTAAACTTGAAGAAATAAAAGCAAAGTTCACAAATATTTATGTTAAAAATTTGGACACTGAAGTTACATTAGAAGAGTTCCGAAGCCTCTTCACAGCCTTCGGTAGAATCACATCTGCTGTTATTGCAACCGATGAAGCCGGCAATTCTAAGGGATTTGGCTTTGTTAATTATGAAAATCATGATGAAGCGGCACAGGCGGTAGGTGAGCTTCATGATACAGAGTTGAAAGGCAAAAAATTATTTGTGGCCCGTGCTCAGAAAAAACATGAACGTGAAGAAGAGTTACGAAGACAATATGAGCAAGCTAAAATGGAAAAATTGAACAAATATCAAGGTGTCAATTTGTATATAAAAAACCTTGAGGACGACATTGACGATGAGAAGTTGCGTCAAGAGTTCTCTGTCTACGGTGTTATTACAAGTGCAAAGGTGATGAGAGATGAGAAATTTCAGTCTAAGGGGTTTGGTTTCGTTTGCTTCTCATCACCTGATGAAGCTACCAAAGCAGTAACCGAAATGAATGGTCGCATGATCGGTAATAAACCCATTTATGTTGCTTTGGCTCAAAGAAAGGATGTACGAAAATCACAATTAGAAGCTCAAATTAATCAGAGGAACCTAATACGTCAACAACAAGCGGTAGATGTTTTTTTTTTTTTGTCTGTGAAAAGGATTTTCCCAAAATAACAACTCATTTATGATTTGTTCTAATTATTTAGTCAGTTGGAATGGGTGCCGGTGCCTTTGGAATGCCTGGTGTGTATGCTCATCCAGGTTCGTATGGAATGAGGTCTGGTCGCCCAGCTCCTTTTTACGGTCAAGTTAACATGATTAATGCCGTCCCTGGTACGACTCCAAACCTTCGTACCAATAATTTCGGAGGAATTGTCAATCGCCCTAATGGAAGACCACAAAATAATCCTCCTCAGAACACTGGTCGCGGAAATCCTAATGCTAATCGCAGCATTAGGAACCAATATCAGCAAGCACCCAAACAACATAATCAATTCAGCCAAAACAGTCGTGTTAGTAATGGCCAAGGACCATCTAACACTCGCAATACCGTTCCCACTGTGCAAAGTACTTCAGCCTCTATGGGCTCAGTCTTTGATAATCGTAAAATTATTGGTGTTTCTCACGAAGCGCAAAAACAAGTGCTTGGTGAACAATTATTTCCCAAGATTTCGGCACGCCAACCTTCATTGGCTGGTAAAATTACTGGAATGTTGTTGGAAATGGATAATGTTGAATTGATGCATTTACTCGAAAGTCCTGGCGCTCTAGATGCTAAGGTATTTGGCTTATTTATTTAATCGAAAAAATAAAAATAAATAAAAACAAAGCAAAGGCTAACTTTATTTCTGAAAAAAAGGTCGAAGAAGCAGTTACCGTGCTGAGACAACACCAAATGGCTACTGGCCAAGACTTTCCCCAATCTGATTAAATAATGTAAGTCTATAGTTAATAATTTCTATTTTGGCATTAGCTTTATAATCAATTTGGAACTTTCATTTTTATACATATTATTGAATGCGATATCAAAAAGGAAGGATGGTATTGTAGAATAATGTTTGTGTTTGTTGATTGGTTGTTTTTTCGCGCTTTTTTTTTTTTTTTTTTTTCCTCAACACTTTTATTTTCAGTTGGAATGAATCAACTGATCGTGTTTAAAATGAGGATATTCTTCTCCTTTATTAAGAGGCTCAATGTTCAAATTCACCTTATCCTTTTTCCTTTTATAATTAATAGTTAACGTCTTTATTTTTTACGTTTCTTTACTATCAATCCTTTGGTTTTTTTCTAATAAATCTTTGTTGGAACATTTGTGCAAGGGCAAAAAATAACAAGTTGTTATAATAATTCCTTTCATTGTCATTCTATTATACATTTTTATCAATATATATATATATGTGTTGATATTTGTAGCTTTATAGACGTTAAGTATATTTGTTAAAAAGGTTTTAAAAAGGTGTATATATATATGTACATGTATATATATATTATGAATTTAATATACGTATTATATACTAAATGCGAGATATATTTTATGGTTATGAATATATATATTTTTTATAATTTATTAGTGTATAGTACCGTAAGTTAGAAATATCGATAGTTTGGTTTAGTTTATTTTAATAATTTATATTTTTGAACAATTTAAATATATCTAATTGGTTTAAATTAGTTTAATTTTAAAACTGGTTTTAAAACGAATTGCAATTTGTTGGCTTAAATTAAAATAGTTAATATTTTAATACGTATATATATTTTTTTAATAGTTTTTGTTTTTATTTAGCTAATTATATTATACAACAAATTATATTTGATTTATAAAATAAAAATTTATTTGACTATAATAGCTTATAAGTAATTTGTTTAAATATATTATTTGTTTTAATTTAGATGTTTTTGCTTTTGAAATTTTCAGTATTAAGAATCTTAGACATTACTTATATACTAATTTAGGCAGCAAATATTAGATTTAAAACATTTACAGAAATTTTGTATTAAAACAGGCAAGATTCTAAAAAAATAAAAAATATTACAAATTTGTTTTATTTTTATTTTTTATTTTTTTGGTGTTAAAGTAACCTTTTTAGTTTTTTTTTTTGTTAAAGGTTATACTTGTGGCAATACTTTATTAACTTACATTGAATTAGTTATTACAATTATTTTTACAGAAATGAGAGTACAGCTAGTCACATATATAACTTTTGGTTGCTTATTTAAGTAGTTCATTCTAAGGTTCTATACTAGATGTTATACCTATAACCTACTAAAAGATTATCTATTTAAACCTTTTAATCATCTACCTTATCATATTGGAATCCCAACTTATCCTTCATATATATCTAACCAGTATACTATCTGAGCAGTATGGTACTTATCCTTTTTGTATTAGTTCCTAGGTTATTATATATTTTAGAGTATGTTATCTGCCAGTAAAGTATAAGGGGTCTTTTATTATTAACTATCTACCTATTTTTAGAACACTAATATAAGTTATCTTTACAAAGTTCACCTAGATCTCAATACTAACTTCATAGCATATCTCTAGTATTTTTAATATATCCCTACTTTGAATTCAGATTTCCAATCTAGATAGCTTAGAAAAACTGTGATCAGTCCTTAGTATATTAAGGCTGGTCCAATATTCTTTTTCTTCAGTTTGAAATCCAGTGGCCTGGTTGGTAGTATCTCTCATCTGAAGTTTTTGCCTGCCTGATTCCTTTACATTGGTATTCATTTCTTAAGTCTAGTCTTTATAGTAGTATTGTCAAAGATCTATATTACCTTTCTGCTCAGAATTTTTAAGTAAGTTTCAGCTTCTCAGTTCTACAGATTTACATAACTCAAGAACTTATTTTAGGTTTGCACTGCCTGGTATCAGTTTATATTTCTCTGTATAACAGGTTACATAAATATTTCAGATCCATCAGTTATATTGGTGTGATCATAGTTACAGGTATTCTATTACAACTGATCAATAAAATATTGTCACTATAATACTATTTATATATTATATAGGTGATTATCTAAATTTCATCATCAGTAGGTTTTGAACTTTCAATCTACTATTTGAAAATATAACAACTTAACCATTTCACTAAGTTGCTACATCTTTTTATTAACAACTTATTGGTAATATAATTCTATAAACTATTACAGAAGTCCTATAGCTAAAGTCCATATAAATAGAAAATCAATATATAAGGAAGTTTCTAAAAAAATTTTCCCAATATAGAGAGTTAATACTTGATATGAAAAAAGTGAGAAACATATCAAAAATGGAGTAAAGGTGTACTAGTAAGTGATACAGTAAACATAAAAAGAAACTATAAAAAAAAATAGAATTATTGAAATTCAAACACTTCTGCTATTAATACTGGTTTAATGAATATGAAATCAGATAAAATCTAAGAGGCAATCTTAGTATCATATTTACTAAGTTTGTATCAATAATAAATTCAAGAGACTATAGATATTTGGTAACATCCAATATAGTGGTACCTAGATATAAATAGTAATTTAATAGTCCTAACCTGATATATTCATATGATAATATAAGTATTATATATATGTAATAGAATTGAAAATCAAAAAGTTTAAATAGTAAATTTATAAACAGATTTTAGATATGATAGCTAGTAGGTAACCTTTAGGTGGAACTCTTAATTAGATAATAATTAAAGTTATATATATAACTAGTTGTATTTTCATTAATAAACTTTATATATACAGTTAGACTTCATTATAGTCACTCTTAATATAGTCACACTGTTTTTTTGTTCCTAGTTTATATAAAACATATAAATTTTGACCTTTATATAATCACAACTTTTTATAATCACTGATTTTATGTTTTCTAACCTGGTGATTATATCAAGGTCTGACTGAAATTATATAATAATATATTATCTAATAAAGACAAACAGACAAGATTGCCACTTAACAGAAAAAAAAATTATTATAAAAAAAAGTACAATTGGTTATATATGTAATTTTTCTATATTACTTATTTAAAAAGTTCATCAAAGTTCCTTACCAATTGCTATATCTAACATCTCTGCTTAAATGTTTCATTTTAAATCTTTTGAACCTGTAACTTGTATTAACTTACTGGGTTATATCTAGATGTTCAGATTATTATCTCAATCTTAGAACTAATTTATTCTTAAGTTAAACCTCTTAGAGCCTTTTGTACCTATTTTTACAACTAATTTTGATATCATTATAGTAGAACTAATACTTGTGATTAGAGTTATATCATTTAATCATTGTGTTCTTGTAGAGTTTACACAAATTCTAGCATTTATTTTATAGTATAATTCTAGTACTTTAGAATACTCTTATCTTTTTATTTGTCTTTTTACTAAACTTCTAATTCAGATAACCTGTATAAGACTACAACCAGTTTATCAATATATCAGGTTAGCCTAATATCTTTTTTTATTAATTCATTTTAACAGCCTAGTTGATGATACCTCTAAAACTCTTAATTCAAAGGTTCTTATCTGTTTGATTATTATGATCAGATACTATGAACTTGGTATCTGTTTTTCTAAGCTAATCTTTACAGTAGAGCTATTAAAAATCTAACTATCTCTTTATTTAGATCTTTTCAAATAAACTTCTTGTTATTTAATTTCAATTAATTTACATAACTATAAGAACTTATCTAGTATTTGCATTACTTGATTTGTCAGTTTGCATTTCTTTGTATAACAAGTTATACAGATGCCTCATGACTTGTTAGTCATGTTAGTGTAATCACTATTACAGATATCTTAATCTAATCATTAGTAACAATTACTGTAATATAAATATATATAGATGATTATTCAAATTTTCTTTATCAATAGGATTTGAACACCCAACCTACTACTTGGAAGGTTGACAATCTAACCACTTCACTAGGTCATTACACTTCTTATTTTTTATTACTAATTAAAAATAAAAGATTAATTTAATATTTTTTTACATAAAAGAAAAAATATAACAAATTTATATAAAAAACAAATTTTTTTTAAACTTATAATAACTTTGTTAATAATAGTTTATTAGATTTTTTTTTTTGTTAAATGTTATACTTTATAATAGTTATTTTATTAATATATTAGAATTAGTATTACAATTATTTTTATAAAGATAAGAATATAGCTAGCTATATATACAACTTTTAATTACTTATTTAAGTAGTCCATTTAGAGTTTTATATTAGATACTATATTTATAATTTACTAGAAGATTATTTATTTAAACCCTTTGATTATTTATTTTGCTAACCATCTAATTACTATTATATCTCTTATATATACTTAACTAATATACTGTTTGAACAGTATAATATTTTTTTTTGAACTAGTTTTTAGACTATTAATATTTCAAAATATAATACTTGTTAGTAAAACTTAGAAGATTCTTTTTATTAACTATCTATCTACTTTATAAATTATTAATAAAAGCTTATCTTTATAGAATTTATTTATATCTTAGTATCTACTTTATAGCATATTTTTAGTACTTTAGTATGCCTTTACTTTGTTTTTAAATTCTTAATCTAAATAGCTTAAAAGAACAGTAACCTGTCTCTAATATATCAAATCTACCTAATATCTTTTTTCTTTAGTTTGATCTGACAGTTTGATTAGTAATATCTTTCATCTAAAGGTTTTTACTTGTTCAATTTTTTTGTATTGATATTAGTTTTTTTAGTCTAATTTTTATAATAATATTATTAAAGATCTATATTATCTTTTTATTCAAGTTTTTCTAAATAGGTTTTAGTTTTTTTTCAGTTGTATAAATTTATATAGTTATAAGAACTTATTTTAGATTTGTATTATTTATTATCAGTTTGTATTTTTCTATATAACTAAAATTATACAAATAAGGGGTGTAGCAACTTAGTGAAATGGTCAGGTTGACAACCCCCAAGTGGCA